AACATCTTGCCTTCCAATGTGTTTTCCCAGGAAGTAGAAGTTTTTGTGATTGCCCATGATCACGCACGTTCACACTCTATTTTTGCAATCACTGGTAACTAGAGGGACCCCTTTCTCTGTATCTGCCCACCCCACATGCTCTGATAGGGAGGAGGACATACTCCTGGTCCCTTCATTGAAACAATGCCCCAAAGGTACACATTCTCAGTGGCAGCCCCCTATCTAATGGAAGCATCTTCCTCTCGACATACGGATGGCCCCGACCCTCTGGCCTTTAGAAAGGCTGCCAAGACCCAGCTCTTTTCCTGGGTCTTTGGGTCATGATGCCTTGGTGCCCGACTGGATGAAGGTGTCGTTTCTCTTTGGATCAGCATTTTATTCTGTCATTACTGCTTATCAGTTTATGTATTGTGGTTTTGTATTCTTTTGGTGAGGTTCTCTTAAACTTTCTGTAAGCTACCCAGAGTCAGTTTGGTTGCGTTGGGTGGCTATGCAAATATTATTTATAAATAAATAAATAAATGTAGAAGGCATCATTTTTTTCTATGATGAAATTCCCTCATATATGAACTGAGAGAGTAAGGATGAAGTGCAGGAAAGTGTTGTATGGTCTTATCACGTTATTAGCCATCCCCCATGTAATGGCATCTAAGTACATTCACCTGTTTTGCCTAATTCAGGCCAGTATGGCCATTAAAGGGTATGTATTTATTTACTTACATACTTCTTGAATTAGAATTCTGCTGTAATCAAAAGAGACTCTTAACAGTTTGTATAAATTAATAAAAATATAGAATGTCCATAGTAAAAAGATAAAAACTATTAAACAATGTCACACTATTACTCAGTCTGATGGCACCGATTCTCCAAAATAACTGTTTTAACAATTTATACAAAGGGAGTACAGTGGGAGAAGATCAAATTTCTGAGGGGACACTATTCGAAAAAGAAGGCTTGTGCCTTCAAGCCTCCACCCTCTTTTGTTGTTGTTGTTCAGTCGTTAAGTCGTGTCCGACTCTTCGTGTCCCCATGAACCATATCGCACCAGGCCTTCCTGTCCTTCACTGCCTCCCTGAATTTGCTCAG